GCTGCCAGCGTTTTTAAAATAAATGAGTTACTCGTTGTTTAACATTTCCCGTTGTGTTCCGTTCGTTTTCGGAATCGAAACGACACAAAAATCTGCCTTTTTAATCCTGTTATCTCACGATTTTGTGCTTTTTCTTTCCCCATCAAACTTGACTTTAATTATTTTTCTTTTTTCGCCCCATTCTGTATTCTTTCAAACCGTATTTATTTTTTTCAAAAACCAAATTGAGGATGTTTTCGTTGAAAAAATTTCGACCGAACCTTATAAAATGAATTTTGATTTATTTTTTTTTGTATTTTTGGGTAAACGACAGCTGTTGAGTGTAGGGTTACTTCATTTTTGTTAAAGGGTCACTTAAAGCAAAAACCCCTTTGGCGATTGTCCACGCATTCAGAATCTATTATGACGAGTTTTGGGCAAAATGGAAAAATCTGTGGCAGCTTGCCAAAGTTTAATTTTTTGTTGTCGTTGATGGAAACATTTTTGGATGGTTTCTCTAAATATGTAAGGTTTTTATCCCGGGGCGATAACTTATCGCTGTGTTTGCCAGGCAGAAACCAAAGGGCAGCGAAAAAAATACTAGTTATTTTTAGATAACGTGTTTACTTCTTAACGTGTTTGCCAGGGTCCTAAAATGTGTGTGTTTTCGTCAAAAATTTGTTTGCAATTGACCTCTTTTTGTCTATTTACTTATTATTTTTTTCATTTTGGTTCTTTTCTTATTTCCGGTTATTTTTAGAAGTTTAAATCATCAATGTTATTGTTAAAAAAGTAACCATGACTAATTACAAAAAAAATCTTTCACATTTCTCTAATTGAAAGTGTTTAAGTGCAGGTAGATCAACAATAAAAATTTTATTGCGCTGTCGTAAAATTCGCACAAATTCTAACAATTGCGGTTGTTTTTAGAAAAATCTTTGTCACCACAACATTGAAATTCTTTGTGCGATTTTTGTGTGGCTTCACGGTTAATGACCCAGCTACCTCACTTTACATTATTTAAACAAAGATACATTTAAATTCTCAAATTTATTCATTATTATTTTTTTGGCTAAAAACTTTCCAAATAAAACCTTCACCCCCTTGTAGTTGTTTTCGTTTTCGGACTGATTCACCCTCGCCCAAATCTCATTGGTCACTTCTAACCATTCGCAACACCAGGACTTTCTGCACCCTTTGGTGCTTTTGTATTATTTTCTAGGAAAAAACACCAAAAACTGTTCTCAATCTTTTAGAATAGAGAGTTTTTAGCCAAGGATGTTTGAATTCTAAAATAAGCTAAAAAGGCATTTTTTTTGTGTTTGGACGTTTGAAAAATGAACAAGAATTTTTTGTGAAAACTGCAAGGCTTTTAAAATGAGTAGTTTTCATAGAATCTTTTTCTAATTTGGACCACGTTATGCATCACTTGACTAAGCGACAAATGAATAATGTCGAGAAAAACGGGATTTTCGTTTTTATCTCTCTAAAAATATAAGACTTCTCAGAATAGACAAGCTCAAACTATTGAGTATTGTTTGGTGACTGCCCATTTTTATCACAGAACACTGATGACAGCTATCACAAGCACAGCGGGCATACAGGGTGTTTCTGTAAGTCGTGGCATAAATTTAATCACTAAAACTAGAGACAAAATGATGAAGATTCGTGTAAAAATTTTTGAAGTTAATAATCTAGTTTGATTTTGTACTTTTAAACTGGTTTTTATTTTATATAGAATTTAAGTCTAACCAGTTTCGGCCCTTGGCCATCTTCAGAGACTCTACAAATAGATTAACATCTCTCATCTTATCCATTTTACAAACAAGTTTCTTAATATTTCTTTTTATTTTGTTAAAAAACTTCTTTGTTAAACATCATGTGGCTTAAAAATCGATGATTTTTTCTTTATCAATGTGAAATGACCCAAAAACACGTTAAAAATAAAAAGAAAGTGCTGCAAAGTGACTAACACTAGATTAACTTCAGTTATAAAACTTTTATTATATGATAACTAACTTCAGGTTTAAAATGTCAACCTCAATTTTGACATATTTGTAATCTTCATTAAAAATCCTTTAAAATGAGTACAAACACGACATATTTATCTTCAATATTAATGAAGTTATGGTCAACTTCCGGTTAAGAATGTCAACGTCAATTTTGACATATTTGTAATCGTCGTGAAAAATCCTTTAAAATGAGTCCAAACATGATACGTTTAATTCCAATATTACTCGAGATATAAGCAACTTCCGGTTTGAAATGTCAATGTCATTTTGACATATTCTTAATTTTTATAAAATGTCTTAATATTTGTCACAAAAACAAAAATATAATAAAAAAAAATTAAAAATTAAGGTTGGTATTAATATTTAAAAATTAAATTGCTATCTTCATTGTTGCTAACTTCGGGTTTAATGTTTTTTATTCTAACTTTTTTGTTTTTTGAGATAAGTGCGTCATCTTTGGACTCATTTTAAAGGTTTTTTAATGAAGATGACAAATATGTCAAAATTGACGTTGACGTTTCAAACCGGAAGTGATTGTATTTCCATTAATATTAAAGTTAAATATGTCGAGTTTGGACTCATTTTAAAGGATTTTTTATGAAGTTGACAAATATGTCAAAATTAAAAGTTGAAAGTTCGAACTTTTTGGTTTTTTGAGATAAATGCGTCAAGTTTGGACTCACTTTAAAGGTTATTTTATGAAGATTACGAATATAATAATAAAATTAAAGTTGACATTGACAACTGAAAGTTTTTTTCACGACTAAACACTAGATTAACGTCAATTATAAAACTTCTATTATATGATAACTAACTTCAGGTTTAAAATGTCAACCTCAATTTTGACATATTTGTAATCTTCATTAAAAATCCTTTAAAATGAGTACAAACACGACATATTTATCTTCAATATTAATGAAGTTATGGTCAACTTCCGGTTAAGAATGTCAACGTCAATTTTGACATATTTGTAATCGTCGTGAAAAATCCTTTAAAATGAGTCCAAACATGATACGTTTAATTCCAATATTACTCGAGATATAAGCAACTTCCGGTTTGAAATGTCAATGTCATTTTGACATATTCTTAATTTTTATAAAATGTCTTAATATTTGTCACAAAAACAAAAATATAATAAAAAAAAATCAAAAATTAAGGTTGGTATTAATATTTAAAAATTAAATTGCCATCTTCATTGTTGCTAACTTCGGGTTTAATGTTTTTTATTCTAACTTTTTTGTTTTTTGAGATAAGTGCGTCATCTTTGGGCTCATTTTAAAGGTTTTTAAATGAAGATGACAAATATGTCAAAATTGACGTTGACGTTTCAAACCGGAAGTGATTGTAGTTCCATTAATATTGAAGTTAAATATGTCGAGTTTGGACTCATTTTAAAGGGTTTTTTATGAAGTTGACAAATATGTCAAAATTAAAAGTTGAAATTTCGAACTTTTTTGTTTTTTGAGGTAAATGCGTCAAGTTTGGACTCACTTTAAAGGTTATTTTATAAAAATTAAGAATATGTCAAAATGACATTGACATTTCAAACCGGAAGTTGCGTATATCTCGAGTAATATTGGAATTAAACGTATCATGTTTGGACTCATTTTAAAGGATTTTTCACGACGATTAAAAATAAATAACAAATATGTCAAAATTGACGTTGACATTCTTAACCGGAAGTTGACCATAATTTCATTAATATTGAAGATAAATATGTCGAGTTTGGACTCATTTTAAAGGGTTTTTAATGAAGTTGACAAATATGTCAAAATTAAAAGTTGAAATTTCGAACTTTTTTGTTTTTTGAGGTAAATGCGTCAAGTTTGGACTCACTTGAAAGGTTATTTTATGAAAATTACGAATATACGTCTCTCAGGACGGCTAAACCCGAATGATTCTAGTTCTCAGTCTAATGTTAGTTACTAGCACTATCACTAGATCTAACGCAAGACCTAGAACTAGAAACATTCGGATTTAGCCGCACGTCTCTCAAGACGGCTAAACCCGAATGATTCTAGTTTAGGTCTTGTGTTAGTTCTAGTGATAGTGCTAGTAATTTTAAAATGTACTCTCTTGATTTAACTAGAATTTCTGATTATTCGCGAATTCTCTTCCTTAAGAGATCAACTAGTGACCAAGGTGATAAGACAACAGATTGTCTGCAACCCTAAGCTGAGCGTGAAGTACGCACATCTAAGCTCAATATATCACAATAGATATGACTTCATCAAATCTAATATGTGTAGAACCATCTTAAAACCTGTTTAATCCCATGAAAGATTTAACTTTTTTGATATTGAATTAAAAAGAAATAAGAAAAATTAAATTTGTTACATTGTTTTGAGGTTGAGAAAATATGAGCTTTCTTGAGAATAAAACAAAGAGATTTTGAAGTTACGATCAAATGTTATATTATGAAATTAAATGACTCGTATACACTACATTGAATATTAATTTATTCAACTTAAACATTACAACGAACGATATAGAACTGATTCTCGACCTGGCTCTTACGAATAATACAAAAAAAACTTGCCTTTAATGTGTTCGACAAACGTAATAAACAACGAAATAAATTCAAAATGCAAATCTCAAAATACAAACTTTAAACATAATTAAATAATGATTAATTTCATTATTTACAGGTTTCCGTCATAATAAATCGATAATCACCCTTCTAAAAACAGCTTTTTAAATCTTTTTTAAACACTTATCGATAATCACTGTTTATTGTGTCCTTTAAAAAGCTCTTTTGCAAAATCTCCCAATTAAAAACGCATTATAAATATTAAAAGTACCACAACAATAAATAGTTTTGTTCTTCCGGGAACGTTTTAAAAACGCGAAGAACTGTCCAGAAAAACCACATAATAGAAGTGGGGAGACTTAAAACTCTCCCCTCATTGGACGGTCGATCGAAAGCACAACTTGGAGTATTTAACTTGTCACTAAAGAAGTCAGTGTGCGTAGAAATATTGAACGCTAAAGATTAATTTGAAATTAAAAATGATTCCAATTGGATTTCAACAACAAAAAGAAGTGGTAATATTAAATTATTATTTTTTAAAACTTAATTAATTAATTATTTTTTTAAATTAATTTATATACAGATACATGATGATGAACCTAAAGATCTTTCAAAAACATCTTTATCAAAAAAAATTCCATTAATGAAGATTTCAAAGTCACCGATTTTAGAGGAATCTCAAGAAGATAAAAATGATATCAACGGTATAAGAGTCCCTAAAATGAATTCGCACGGAAAATTAACAACATACAAATGCAAACAATGCGATTTTGTCGCAACAACTAAAGTTGATTTTTGGCAACATTCAAAAGACAAACATTACCGCCCAGAAAAAACTTTTTATTGCAAATTTTGTCCTTTCGTAACCGAATTAAAACATCATTTCGAATACCACGTGAATGGCCACACAGGAACTAAACCCTACAAATGCGAACAATGCGATTATTCTTGCGTAAACAAGTCGATGTTGAACTCACACATGAAATCGCATTCGCAAATTTATCAATATAGATGTAAAGATTGTCTTTATGTTTCGAAATATTGTCATAGTTTAAAAAATCATTTAAGAAAATATAATCATCGACCGTCAGTTGTGCTTAACATTGATGGAACGGAAAATCACCATCAAATTATTGACGTTTATGGAACGAGAAGAGGACCAAGACCTAAATTGAAAACGAATTCAGAAAAAAATTATAATTCGATTGAAAATTCGAAGATTCCTAAAATTTGTGAAATTACTCCTCCTCAAATTCCTTTTCCTTTAAATCCGGCTATTTTAAATCCGTTTATGATGAACGAAATGTTTATTAGGATGGCTTTGCAACTCCAACAACGAACTTTAATTGCTCAAAATAATAATTTAATTATTTCATCAGCTAACTCAATTCATAGCAGTGAAAATACAAGCGACGACGAAGATAGTATTAGTGAGGGTTCCGACGAAGAAGACAACAAAAATCGATTATTTTCATTAAATAATAATCTTCAATGTAAAATTTGTGAAATTAGTTTTAGTAATAAGGAAATTTTTGATATTCATATGAGCAATCATAATCCCGAAAATCCTTTACAATGTACTCGATGTGATATAATTTGTGAGAATGGAGTTAATTTTTTTAAACATATTCACGAAAAACACTAAAATAAAACAAATGTTTTGTATTTTTGTGTTGCTCTAGTCCTTCTAGTGCAATGATTATAATATAATAATTTTATTTTTGTATAATTAATAATTGTAAATGTTAAGTATGACTTTTTTTAGGAGTTTAAGACTGATTTGTAATAAAAAATGATCTCAAATCAAAATAAAATGATTGATCAACAAAAACTAAATATAATTTTATAGCAATTTTTTGTAGTATTTTTTTTAATGTTGTATTTGGCAAACATGGCTTGAATATAAAATCTCCCTAATTTTTTAAATGAAATATTTTAAGTTTTTCGAATTTTTTCAACATTCACAAAATGTCACAAAGCAAAGTATTAAGGAAAACACTTTAAGTGATATATTTTGCAAGGATATAAATCCGTTTTATGTAATTTTTCATATATCATTGAACTATACTTACTGTGATGACGTATCTTCATCAAATCATCAACCACGATGCTAGTTTAGTGAAAATTAGATGAAATCGTGGTTTTACATCTTGTTATTGGCAAAGCACGGGATTCGGAATGTTTTAGAAAAAATGTTTTAGTATAAAAGTTGTAGCAAACTTAATTGTGAACAATATTGCTCTGTACACTTTTGCACTCAGATGCATAAATATCTAGAGATTCTAGAGAAATGCGTAAAAGTGAAAATTAGATGAAATCGTGGTTTTACATCTTGTTCTTGGTAAAGCACGGGGTTCGTACGATTTGGAAAAAAAGTTTTAGTATAAAAGTTGTAGCAAACTTAATACTAAACAATATTGCTCTTTACACTTTTGCACTCAGATTCATAAATATCGAGAAAAATGCGTAAAAGTGAAAATTAGATGAAATCGTGGTTTTACATCTTGTTCTTGGTAAAGCACGGGATTCGTACGATTTGGAAAAAAAGTTTTAGTATAAAAGTTGTAGCAAACTTAATTCTAAACAATATTGCTCTTTACACTTTTGCACTCAGATTCATAAATATCGAGAAAAATGCGTAAAAGTGAAAATTAGATGAAATCGTGGTTTTACATCTTGTTATTGGAAAAGCATGGGGTTCGGAACGATTTAGACAAAAAAATTTAGTATAAAAGTTGTAGCAAATTTAATTTTAAACAGTATTGGTCTTTACACTTTTGCACTCAGATGCATAAATATCTAGAGGAATATGTAAAAGTGAAAATTAGATGAAATCGTGGTTTTACATATTGTTATTGGTAAAGCACGGGATTCGTACGATTTAGAAAAAAAGTTTTAGTATAAAAGTTGTAAAAAACTTAATTTTAAACAATATTGTTCTTTACACTTGTACACTCAGATGCATAAATCTCGAGGAAAATGCGTAACAGTGAAAATTAGATGAAATCGAGGTTTTACATCTTGTTATTGCTAAAGCACGGGATTCGTACGATTTAGAAAAAAAGTTTTTGTATAAAAGTTGTAAAATACTTAATTTTAAACAATATTGCTTTTTACACTTTTGCACTCAGATGCATAAATATCTAGAAAAATGCGTAAAACTGAAATTTAGATGAAATCGTGGTTTTACATCTTATTACTGCTAAAGCACGGGATTCGGATCGATTTAGACAAAAAGTTTTAGTACAAAAGTTGTAACAAACTTTATTCTTAACAACATTGCTCTCTTCTACTTTTGCTGTCAGAGGCATAAATATCGAGAAAAATGCGTAAAAGTCAAAATTAGATGAAATCGTGGTTTTACATCTTGTTATTGGTAAAGCACGGGATTCGTACGATTTAGAAAAAAAGTTTTAGTATAAAAGTTGTAACAAACTTAATTCTAAACAATATTGCTCTTTACACTTTTGCACTCAGATGCATAAATATCGAAAAAAATGCGTAAAAGTCAAAATTAGATGAAATCGTGGTTTTACATCTTGTTACTGGCAAAGCACGGAATTCGGATCGATTTCAACAAAAAGTTTTAGTACAAAAGTTGTAACAAACTTTATTCTTAACAATATTGCTCTCTTCTACTTTTGCTGTCAGAGGCATAAATATCGAGAAAAATGCATAAAAGTCAAAATTTGATGAAATCGTGGTTTTACATTTTGTTATTGGTTATTACTTGTTATTGATTCGTACGATTTAGAAAAAAAGTTTTAGTATAAAAGTTGTAGCAAACTTAATTCTAAACAATATTGCTCTTTACACTTTTGCACTCAGATGCATAAATATCTAGAAAAATGCGTAAAAGTGAAAATTAGATGAAATCGTGGTTTTACATCTTGTTATTGGTAAAGCACGGGATTCGGATCGATTTAGACAAAAAGTTTTAGTACAAAGGTTGTAACAAACTTTATTCTTAACAACATTGCTCTCTTCTACTTTTGCTGTCAGAGGTATAAATATCGAGAAAAATGCGTAAAAGTCAAAATTAGATGAAATCGTGGTTATACATCTTGTTATTGGTAAAGCACGAGATTCGAACGATTTAGAAAAAACGTTTTAGTATAAAAGTTGTAGCAAACTTAATTCTAAACAATATTGCTCTTTACACTTTTGCGCTCAGATGCATAAATATCGAGAAAAATGCGTAACAGTGAAAATTAGATGAAATCGAGGTTTTACATCTTGTTATTAGTAAAGCACGGGATTCGGAACGATTTAGCCAAAAAGTTTAAGTATAGAACTTATAGTAAACTTTATTTTTAATAATATTGTTCTTTTATACTTTTGCTCTCACAATCAGATGCATAAATATTGAGGAAAATACGAATTTAAATTAAAACAGCGCCAAACACGGTGTCATTCTGAGATTTGTACAAGGTTAACGTAAAAGAATAGAGATCGGGGATTTTATAATTTCGATAGAAGAAAATATAGCGAATCGAACGACGTATAGGTCTTAATAATCGAGTACATCGTTTACAAGTTATTTCCACCAAAAGATTCAGGCATTTTTGTGTTATATTCGTGTACCTTCGCAATATTTTGTTGTTGATAACGAACGTTATAGCCAGAACAACAATTTACTATAAAAGACCACCATAAGGAATCTTATAAAAAATTCTTGTTGCTACAAGAATTAATTTTTATAAATTGTTAATAAAATATCTCCTTTAAATTTCCATTTTGTTAAAAATTAATAAAACGATAAAATTTTACTTATTACTTTAAGTAAAAACCCCAATCCCTTTTTTTAAATTATTAGTTACGGTTGAGGTTAAAAAAAGAACTAAAAATAGGAAGCCTTTTATTCTCCTCTTTTTCCTAGCCTTATTTATTTTTTTTTAATACATCTTGGGCAAATAGCCAATATTCCACCCAATTGTCGACGAGGAAAAGGGGCAGTCAATAGGGAGGAAGAGGAAGAAATCCCCACCACCGCTGACCGTTAGGGATGCTTTTAAGGGTAGGTAGTGGGGGTTCAAATATAGAAGGTAATTTCTAAAGTTCAACACCAAGTCTGTGTTCTGTGCTCGTCTTGTAAACACGAACTTATAATTATAAAAAGTGAATATTTTTTAGTGAATTTAAGGATAAATTTTTAATAATATATTAAAAGTAAGTAACCAAATTTAAAAAATTAATAACAATTTCGGTATTAATTTTTTTCTTTTATTTAAATAGTTATGGCAATCGCACTTCAAAATTATTCGTTACCTTCAATGGTAACACCACCAAGAACACCTCAATTTCAACTTAAACCTGACTCCTTCGATCAACGCCATCAAGAAACGCCGAGAAACAACGAAATTCATCACCAAAATATTCAAAATCATAATCATCCGGTGATTAAATCAGAACCAATGGATGATTATGAAAGTATTCCTCACCGTCACCAATACAACCCTCACTTTCCAGTTTATAATTTCCAACAAATCCCAACATCGTTTGGAGAAAATCCATTAGGAAATTTACAAACTCGTTTTGGACAACTTTCACCAACAAATTTATCAACGAGCCCACAAATTTCAACGCCCCGTCCAGAATTACCTGTCACCCCTGAAAGTCCTTTAAGAACAACCCCTAATTTGCCGTCGGGATGTGAATCGCCAACCAGATTAAGCGATATAGATTTAGTTGGAACGCCAAAAAAGAACTCATCGAAACCAAAATCTTTTAAATGTCGAATGTGCGAATACGTTGCAACAACAAAAGAAGAAAGTTGGATTCATTTAAAAACACATTTAAAACCAGAAAAGATGTTGTGCTGCCCAAGGTGTCCATTTGTAACCGAATATAAACATCATTTAGAATACCATCTTTTAAATCACGATGGTTCAAAACCGTTCGTTTGCCCCGAATGTGAATACATGTGCGTTAACAAATCAATGTTGAGATCCCACTTAAAATCACATTCGCAAATTTATCAATATAGATGCAAAGATTGTGATTACGTATCGAAATATTGTCATACTTTTAAGATTCATTTAAGAAAGTATCGCCACGAACCTGGACCAGTTTTAAATCCGGATGGAACTGAAGATATTACGAAAATTATCGATGTTTATGGAAGCCGAAGAGGACCAAGAAAACGTACCGTTTCGATCGATAATTTACAAAATCCTATTAATAATTTAAAAACCTTAACTAATCAAAATCTTATCCCAAATCAAAATTTAATTTCGAATCAAAATCTAATTCCAAATCAAGTATCGAATCAAAATCAAATTACAAATCAAATTCAAAATTTATCGATTCCTAAACTTCCTCAAATAATTCCCGAAGAAAATGTGGCAACGCAACCACCGTTGGCTAATCCACTTTTTAATCCGTTCCTTGTAAATTCGATGGTTTTAGCACAATTTATGAATTTACAAAGATTCGTCGCTGAGTTAAGAAATCGAAACGTTGAATCAAATTCTGAAAGTGAAAACAACGATGATTACACCTGTAATGTTTGTGGGGTTTCCTTCAAGACTGAAACATTGTACGGTATTCACATGGAATACCATGATAACGAAAATCCTTTAAAATGTACGTCTTGTGGAAAAACCAACGAAAACGGGGAGAATTTCTTTATACATTTAACGCGCGAAAGGCATTAATTAAAACGTTTATTTTTTTTATTTTTAGAAATATTAAAATTTCTAGTCGATTTCTTTTTGTATATTTTTGTATCATAACTGTTTGTTTAGATAAGTTTTCATTTCTTTGTTATTTTCGTAAAAAAGTTACTTTAAGAGTTTAAGACTGAAATTAACAAAAAAAAATTATCCTTTGTATCCATATTTTGTTTCATTTCTTTGTTTTTTTCTTTTTTTGTGTAACGAGGTTTTTAAGACTGAAATCAACAAAGAAACGAATAAAACGTTTGACGTTTGTAAATTGATATAAAAATCGTATTGGAAATGTTGGTTTTCTGAGCGAAAAATCAAAAAACTTATTGTATTTTATTGGAAAATGTGACCTTTAAAATATTTTGTAGAGAACAATAACGAACCCAAAACCTTAGATTTAAGCATATTTATTTATGTACTTAAGAAATTTTATATTCAGTAGGTGCGTTAATAAATTTATAACTTACTTAAAAATAATGCTTTTTTAATTAAACTATAACACACTCCTTTGCAATAATTAAGCAATAATTTTTATGCCAAATTGAAGCTGAATCGAGCTCTTCAAGACCATATATTTATTTTGAAAATCTTATAAGCATAGAATGTTACAAAAGGCCAAATTGAAGTAATTTTGTTAAACAGTACATTTCTATACTCTATTTTTTAATTCGGAGGAGCATTTTCAAATTGTAGCGAAAAAAAGAAGGGTTGCTATTGGTCATTATGGCTAAATCCGAATGATTCTAGGTCTTGTGTTAGTTCTAGTGATAGTGCCAGTGTAAAACTAGAACTAACACTAGACCGAGAACTAGAAACATTCGAGTTTAGCCGCACGTCTCTCAAGACGGCTAAACCCGAATGATTCTAGTTCTAGGTCTTGTGTTAGTTACACTAGCACTGTCACTAGAACTAACACAAGACCTAAAACTAGAAACATTCGGGTTTAGCCGCACGTCTGTCAAGACGGCTAAAAATAGATATTAAAAAAACTCAAAAATCAGTTAATTTGATGAAAAAAATCTTATTAAATTATTAAAAGTAGCGAAATACTATAAACCAAAAAAAGTTATGAAAAAATTGGTAAGAAATATTCGACATTCATCAAAAGATTTCCAAAAATTTAGGTTGGTATCATTTTAGGGAAATGGGTTGTAAATTTAAACGTCAAAATGACGTTTAACGTTACGATGACACTTGTATGTCAAAATCATTTAAAAAATCAGAATTTAGTTTTATTTTAATAAAAATATACAACAATCTAACGCTTTCTAGTTCTAGGTCTATTTTTCATTGAAGTAAAAGTTGTAGTTTTAGTTCTGACATCGAAACTAACACTAGACCTAGAACTAGAAACATTCGAATTTAGCCGTACGTCTCTTTAGACGGCTAAACCCGAATGTTTCTAGTTCTAGTGTTAGTTCAATAAAAATATACAACCTAGCACTGAATCACAGCTAAAACTAGACTTTATTAGACTTTACTAGACTTTATTGTGTCACTGTAAGCAAAAATATATTTATAAACGTCAATTTGACAATTAACCGTCAACATCGTTAAAAAAAGTAGATATTAAAAAAACCCAAAAATCAGTTAATTTGATGAAAAAAAATCTTATTAAATTATTAAAAGTAGCGAAATACTATAAACCAAAAAAAGTTATGAAAAAATTGATAAGAAATATTCGACATTCATCAAAAGATTTCCAAAAATTTAGGTTGGTATCATTTTAGGGAAATGGGTTGTAAATTTAAACGTCAAAATGACGTTTAACGTTACGATGACACTTGTATGTCAAAATCATTTAAAAAATCAGAATTTAGTTTTATTTTAATAAAAATATACAACAATCTAACGCTTTCTAGTTCTAGGTCTATTTTTCATTGAAGTAAAAGTTGTAGTTTTAGTTCTGACATCGAAACTAACACTAGACCTAGAACTAGAAACATTCGAATTTAGCCGTACGTCTCTTTAGACGGCTAAACCCGAATGTTTCTAGTTCTAGTGTTAGTTCAATAAAAATATACAACCTAGCACTGAATCACAGCTAAAACTAGACTTTATTAGACTTTACTAGACTTTATTGTGTCACTGTAAGCAAAAATATATTTATAAACGTCAATTTGACAATTAACCGTCAACATCGTTAAAAAAAGTAGATATTAAAAAAACCCAAAAATCAGTTAATTTGATGAAAAAAAATCTTATTAAATTATTAAAAGTAGCGAAATACTATAAACCAAAAAAAGTTATGAAAAAATTGATAAGAAATATTCGACATTCATCAAAAGATTTCCAAAAATTTAGGTTGGTATCATTTTAGGGAAATGGGTTGTAAATTTAAACGTCAAAATGACGTTTAACGTTACGATGACACTTGTATGTCAAAATCATTTAAAAAATCAGAATTTAGTTTTATTTTAATAAAAATATACTACAATCTAACGCTTTCTAGTTCTATTTTTCATTGAAGCAAAAGTTCTATATAGTTTTAGTTCTGACATCGAAGCTAACACTAGATCTAGAACTAGAATCATTCGGATTTAGCCACACGTCTCTCAAGACGGCTAAACCCTAATGATTCTGGTTCTAGGTCTCGTGTTAGTTCTAGTGATAGTGTCAGTGCAAAACCAGAACTAACACTAGACCTAGAACTAGAAAGTTTCGTCTTCAGACTGTTAATTCTAGTTTTAATTCCATACAAATATGCAACATATGCACTATCTACCACTGTCACTAGAACTAACATTAGACCAAGAACTAAAGACATTCAGACATATTGCATTTTATGTGGGGAAAAAGTAAGTAAGTACTCCCTGGTTTGTATGGAGATATATTTTTATGTATTGCATTTTAAGTGAAATTCACTGCATAATTCGATTATAATACTGTCATCAGGTCAATAGTAGAATACACTGCGGAACACCAAATTCTAACGAGATGGAGATTTTAAGAGTCACTAGAAACACACTATAAGATTAGAGAAGAAGCAAGGAAATTCGGCAGACATGCAGGAAATTTTGGAATAAGCACGTTTCACAAATGGAGAGACTACAAACGCCAGAACTACTTCCAAAAAGATGGAAAGACAATTAACCAAAGTTCTAAAATCCTAAATGCAACTACTGAAGATGCAAGCAAAAAAGTAAATTTATGTAAACGGATTTTGAATTTAAAATTTCCTTAACAGGAAAAAGAAAAACACGTCGACCATCTCATTTTTAGTCTTAACCCATTGAGTCATAAAGATTGTCAAACCCCAGCAAAAAAAAGCTTGTAAAATTTTGTTACCTATTTAAAAAGGGTTTGAACCTAAATACAAAAAAAGTAAAGGACCAAAATACTAAAGTCTTTTAAAATATGCATTTTTTGTGGTTGCCTGCAATAAAGTTGTTGTGTATGGACCTATTTTTTGTCTAAAACCGGGGTGTAGTTATTCAATTTGGGCAACAAAAAAGCGGCACACTTTTTGCTAAACCATCGACGATACGAAGAAAAAATGTACCCTACTCTAACTAAAAAGAAATAAAATAAGGCTGCACATTTATTAGCCTGGTTTAAGAAATCTCGCAACGAAAGAATAAAGGAGACCTGAAAAAAAAATTAGAGGGTGGAATTTAACAAGTTTTTAGGTTTGTTTTTATGTTTAACTTTCTAAGTTTCTAAAAATCCAACAGGAAGTAACAAATAAACGAAACTAAAACAAGATTATTTGAAATTTTTTCTTTTTGATTCTCCATTTTCTAAGTTCATTCCTTTTTTTAACAGGCGGAGTTAAAAAATACCTATAAAAAGCTCCCGACTCCCTATCGTATACATCGACAAGGTTTTTTAAGCTCCATGGGTGGGTCTTTAAAAAAGCTCCGCCTAGAACCGTGTAAGGGATCGATTCTAAAAAACTTCCTCCACTTTTTCACCCTCTTTACCTTTCTCCCCCTTCATCGTTAAACAAAAGCGGGACCTCCATAGTTAAAAAAAACTTCCCCATCCGATTTTTTATATTGGCGCGTGTTCAACGATTCTCAAACCAATCCCCTTTCTAATTGGATAGATGTCCTATTTACGAGGATTCCTATTAAATTAGGGGTGATATCTTTTTTAAACGTTTTTTGTTGCCTTTCATTTTTTTTATTCACGTTTGTAAAGATTTTTTTGTGTAAAAAAAATGTTTTGCAGGTGAATATTTTAAAAGGCGTGTTAAATGTATTTTTAAAAGGGATAATTTTATGAGAATAAGAGCAGGTAAGCGGATTATGTAGAGCTTAATATTTTTTCAATGGATTTTTATTTGTTCCATATTTTCTTCGTAAATAATTTTTATTTTGCAAATTTAGGTGCATTTGAATCACCCTGTACATAATACAGAAAAGAATATTTTATTTTCTACAATATGACTCACTGTTACTGACCAATGGTCAGTTCTCCAATGATCTTTGGGGGGTTGAAACGAAATAAATGATTCGGTCCGATTCGATTTGACAGAAATTCACCCCCACGCGAAAATATTACATGCTATTAACGATTCTCGTCGAACAATACCCCGAAAATGAAAGCCGTTTAATTGTAAGTGAGGGTGGAAATTTGTGCAATTTTAGAATTGATTCAAATGAAATAAAATTAAACTTGGAAATGTGAGTCAAGAAAAAAAGATCAATCTTAGTCAATACAAAATAGTACTATAAACGATAACAAACACCCCCAAACGTATTTTTTGGGGTCATTCAAAAAAAACCCACAATCAAAATCATTTTTAAAATCCGTTATGGTAAATGATGATTCAAAAATGACGATTGCGTTTTCGATTCGTTTTTAAGTCCTTTCTTCCTTTTCTGTTGTTGTATAAAAATGGTTTAGATACGATCCATTTGCCACTTGAAAAAAGGTTAGCTACCTTAAAAAAATCGATCTTCTTCAGGTTTTTGGATGGTGGTTATAATGAACCCTGGAGGTGTTTCTTCTCCTGTCTCGATGGTATGATTGATATTTCGGTT